GTGAGAGAAGACAGTAAGATTGGAAAATTGCTACAAACGAGATATGCAAATAGCGCCGTAGGATGAGAGACGGGAGAGAGGTGGCAAAACAACCTTCCTTCCCATAGAAGTTATCTTGTGATCACAAGATGAGCTAGCCAGGCAAAGGAGGAGAGAAAGAATTCCCTGGAAAAAGTCTATGTAAATAGAGTGAGGAGGTATGGGGGCACCTGAGACAAGAGAGCTAGAAAGGAGCAGGTCACTAAGGTGTGTGAATTATATTCTGAAGTTAACGAGGATTCTTTAAGGGAAACAGGGGTCTCGTCATCAAATATGTGATTTAGAAAGTTCATTGGAAGAAGGCAGGCTGGGGCATACTCGGGATGAGTAGAGGAGGACTGCAATAGTTTGGGGATTGACTGTAATAGGTGGCATGGTGGCTGAACAATGTCATGCTGGTATGTGGTTGTGTCAATACGAGTGTGAGCACTTGTGGGTAGTTTTGAATAAAAATGTGTTGAAAAATACTTGATTTTTATTACAGATTGCATAAAGTAGGCACTCAAGTGTAGAGTTTGTGTTTTTACCTGTACATATCGTGTTACCTACTCTTAGAGGTAAAATAATGAGAATACCTAACTGGATGACTCTGGGGAGGTTTTAGAGAACTATTAATTGTTTATCATTGTTATTTTTAAGATGCTGCCATCTAGTGACACTTTTGTAAAATCACCTTGTGATGATCTTCAAGTTTATATCTTCCAAATCCTTTCCTTAAAACAGTCATCTTTTAATAATTTATATTTACTGCCATCCATGGGCAAAGAATTGTGCATGCATTAAAACGTATCGTAGAAGCCGCAATTGATTTTTTGATGTGGTGCCACAAATGTGGCCACAGGGCTTTTAATAACAGGATACGGTAGGTGAAGTTTTGTGGTTTCTTCTATGTGCCATTCTTTACAAATAATTGATAATAAAATAAAAGTAAAAGTATTGCCTTTTCTATGCCTTGAATTTTCTAAGAAAAGTTGAGTTATGAAAAAGCATATCTATGAAAAGTTGAGCTGTAAAAATTGCTTCATGAAAAAAATCATTGCTTTAATTCAAAATGTTGGTGAGAAAAAAGAGGGCTTCAAATTTAGGATAACTAATTTTTACTTTTTCCCAAATAGGATTTCAGTATCATAAATACAAATAAAAAATGTGCGTATGTATCTATGAAACCTAAACATTAGTCTGCAAATCCAGGTTTTGATAATTTCTAAGACTTGATGGAGATTAATTGTATTCCCTTCCTATCACTCTTCAAACTTAATTTTAGCACAAAGTACCTACCTTATTCATTTTGGTGAGAAACAAAGCACAAATTCATCAATTATAAAATACTGGTAAGAACTTTTTGTAAGATACTAGTTCCAGTCACATTATAGTGAGTGGGATTTTTAATTAATTACTTTTCAATATGCTGAGTTTTCTATAGGGAAATTAATGCTATAGGTTAGAGGTGAGCAAATCTTTCCTATAATGGGTCAGGTAGAAAATATTTTAAGCTTCATGGGCCATATGGTCTCTGTTGCAACTACTCAGCTCTGTTTCTATAGTGCAAAAGCAGCCATGGCCCATATTTAAACAAATGAGACTGGTCACGTTCCAGTATAACTTTATAAAAACATCTCATAGGTTGCATCTCTCTGCTCTGGGGAAAACACCATAATAGCAGTTTGGAGTTATTTATTCTTAGGAGGTGTTAGAACAATTCTAAAATCATCCCACTGCAATTATTTACTTCAGAAACTTTACTTCAGTTGAGAGATGTGTTCTTTCAATGTTACAGGAAATCTAACATTTGGGGCATATAATTATCACATGTACACCTGGTAAACTAAGGCAAACCCAGAGGTAAAATGTTTTACAAAGTTCTATGACCTCATTTAATGATGAATTTTTAAATTCATGTTCATGTACAAAGTTGTCTTCATGTGGAATGAATCACTATATTTTCTAAGTAAAAATTTTAACATTTTGGCCAGGCATGTTGGCTCACACCTGTAATCCTAGCACTTTGGGAAGCCAGTGCTGGAGGATCACTTGAGGCCAGGAGTTCGAGACCAGCCTGAGCAAGAGCAAGCCCCTGTCTCTACAAAAAATAGAAAAATTATCATGGCGTGGGGGTGCATGCCATAATGCAGCTACTCAGGAGGCTGAGGCAGGAGGATCGCTTGAGCCCTGGAGCTAGAGGTTGCAGTGAGCTATGAGGACATACATCACTGTACTATAGCCCAGGAGACAGAGCAAGACCTTTTGTTTACAAAAAAAATTAGCATTTTGATATGTAGGTAAATGGTTTTGATCATAAGCATTAAATTAGAAAGTTACTACTGGGGAACAATTTGCATAATTAACCATTGCTCTGGTTTGTCTTTTTGGGAATTTAGTGAGAACAGAGGCTTGGTTTCTACTCAAAAACATTGTGAATTCCACTAGGCAGACATACAAAACACTCGAATCCATATGACAAGTAAATAAGGCAGAATGGAGTCAGATCTAAAGAGGCTGTTAAGGTTTAAAGTCAATGTATATGGAGAAGACAGTAGAGTCAACATTAACTTTGAAATTCTCTAACAAACAACATCATTTTTTCCCTCTATTATTGGATAAGAATACTTTTTAAAAATTCAACATCAGATAAAACAGCTAGCCGACATTAATTATCTGTAGTGTATCAGAAATATGCATCTTTGCTTACAGAACAGCACTGAGCATGGATACACACTCTTATTCTGACATGGGAACTAAACCGATTTAAGCAGTAACTGATCCAAACCTCCCATCTTGTGATCCTTCTGTAGCTGGACTCTTTGAGTGGAATGGCAGCTATAATTCCTAAAACCGTGTGTATTATGCCTTGCTCTTTTTGGACTGAGTATACGTATCAGTTAGCTCTTGCCATAAAAATGCAGTGTAATAAACCATCTCAAAACTTTTTGGCTTGAAACAATAATCATTTATTTACGGATAACCCTGGTGTCGGCTGATTTAGGCAGGACTTGGCCAGAGGTGTCCTGCTTGTCACTCATGCATCTGTGGCCAGCTGGGAGGTGTAGGTGAGCAGCTGAGGTGAGGATGGCTCTGGTCCTTATTTCTTTCCTCTTCTACCTGCGCCTGCAGGTTGGTCCAAGCAAGTCCTTCTCATAGAGGTGGCAGAGAGCAAGAGAACAAGCCTAGTCACTCAAGTGCTTTTTTGAGACTCTGCTTTTATTGTGTGACAAACATCCTGTTTGTCTAAACAAGTCACCTGACTCTGCCCAGTGGCAAAGAATCACACTCTGCCCACAGTGGGAGGAACTGAACAGTCATACGGCAAAGGACATGGTACGTGAAGGAGCAAAGAATCAGAACCATGGGTGCAGTTTACCACGGTGTGTCTACGTGAACTAATTAAATTAAATACGGACATATGTGGGGTTAGGTGATAAACAAAAAAAATCTCTATTAACTCCTTTGGTTACTGGGATACACTAAAGCAGCAATTCTGAAACTTTTTAGAAATGGAAACCTTTTACACTCTTAAAACTCATCACAGATTGCAAAGAGGACTTGATATTGTGTCTATGTTATATATTTGTAACCAAAAAAACAGAATTTTAAAATGTGTTTATTTTAGAATAAAAACAAACTCATTACATATTAATAAAAGCAATATATTGTTATAAAAGCCTATGTTTTCTAAAACAAACAAAAAATAGTGGCATTGTTTTACATTTGGCAAATCTCATTAACATCTGACTTAGGAGAAGACAGCTGGGTTTTTTATCCCTGCTTCTGTGTTCAATCTCTCTTTTTCCTCTTGGTGAAACGTATGAAGAAAATTGGTACCCATGCAGATATATAGTTGGAAAAGGCGGGAATAGTTTAATAACCTTTTCAGTTAATTGTGTATATTCTTTGATATCACACTAGAATTTGATGAGTGAGGATTTCCTAGGAGTTGTAGTACGGAATGTGAAACCAAGTAACTGAATTCTCTGTGTTCTGTTACATTAAAATCCATTGGCTTGCATTCTGCATTCTGAGTAAATTTTATCAACGCCTGATATGTAACATCAAGCATTGGTCATTTGGAAAATATCAGCTCATAGAATTATGCCTATTTTCCAAATATTGATGTATTTAGTTATACAATATTTTAAAAATTATATATTACTACTAAACTCATCAGAAATATCTCATAATACTGGAAAGTAGTCACACTCTTCGAGGTAGATACAAGTTTTCTGATATTCTAATTTCTCTTGGAAACTCTAATTTTATCGTTGGGTACAAATACTATGAGTTGTTTTCCTTGAAGCAATAGACACTTCATTCATTTAAAAAAAAACGTCTATCAAATACCCAGATATGAATTACCATTGTTTGTCTGTCAGGTGCTCTTTCACGCAAAAGTAATTCTCCATAAAATAAAGTAGTTAATTCACCTTGCAACTCGAATAATTGCACAAGTGCACTATTTTGAAACAGTCTACTGCAGAATGTGGTTAACAGTTTTATGTATACTTCCTACATTAAACATTAAAAATATTAGAATTAGGTGTTAAGATTTAATAAAAATTGATCATTTGTAGAGCTTTAACAAAGAGATTTTTAAGTAAAACTCCCCTCACCCCCAACCCAGGTGAATGACTGGGACAAATGCAGTGACTGATGCAACAGTTTGGTGCCACTGCCTTGGTCCCTGCTGAGGTGCCAGCAGTTTTAACCATCACTCTTTTGCATTATCAGTGCAAATGTCAACCCAGTGAAAAACCAAAGAATATCTTGGTATTATGAAAAGCGCTTTGATCTGGCAGGCCTCCTGAAAGGGTCTTGGGAACTGAGAATCCCAGTTTGTGAACCACTGCACAAAGGGCGAACCATTATTTATGGTACAGCAGTTTGTCAAAGATTTTCTTAAAGATGTTTGTATTTACTATTTCTAACCATTAAGCAAATTCAAAATCTGTTATTGTGTTCTTCCCTAGGGTTGTTTTGTTGGCTTTGATCTAGCTCACGCAGTTGGAAACGTTGAACTCCACTTACATGACTGGGGAGTTGATTTTGCCTGCTGGTGTTCCTACAAGGTACGAACTAGTTAATATATTTACATCCTTTTATTGCACATTGACATTAACCTGCAGGGAAAAATGGATCCATGGGTCAATTTTAAGGATTTGACTTACTTTCCTATTTCTTTCATTATTGCATTTTTTAATTTTAGCTAATAGTAGAGTCATATTATAGAGGAATACGATAAATAATTGAATCTAGTATTTCTCTCACCATAGAAAACTTATTCCTTCAATTCCTAAGCTGCTATGAAAAAGTCAGGAGGGTCTGGGGAAAAAGCCCTGCATTTAAAACTTAACTAAAATGGATTAGGTTCTCAGGTTTTTTTGTTGGTAAGTTGTGAAATTTCTACATACATAAAGATAATTCTTACAGAATCAACTTGGTATTGGTATTTGAAGACTATTTAATTGACAGGGAGCAGGAAAATAAAACCAATTTTAATTCAGGTGTTTTTAAAATATGTTACTTTTATTATTTAAATATTTTATGACCAAATAATTTAAATGTATCAATTTTGAAATCAGACAGACCTCAGTGGAGGTCTGGCGCAAAATTTGACCAAAAAAATAATACCAATTTATTCTCAGCTTGATGATACTATTTTTCATTTGTTTTTGTTTTTGAAAAAGGTGTCCAAACCTTCTCTTTCATTATAACAACTCAAAATATCACTCATTTTGAACAGATCAAAAGTTGTGGTTTCATTAAAAAAATTCAAATGATTACATTGTTTGGTTTTTTTGTCATGTATTTAGGTAAACCCATACAATTTAATTTATTTTCAATCCAGTATTTAAATGCAGGAGCAGGAGGTCTTGCTGGTGCCTTTGTCCATGAAAAGCACACCCATAAAATTAAACCTGCGTGAGTACCATCTTCAGATTCTTCTTTAATGATGAACAAATTAATTTGTATTAATATGTTAAATTTACATGAGTTCTTTAAGATGCTGTCCATTAGGAAGCTGGATTAGACTAGAATTATTTCACTACTCTATTGTCAGTGATACACTTTACCAGAAATAAAATGCTTTCCAAAGAGTTCAATTGGTCAAACAAGAAATTTGATCAAAAAAGGGAAGCTTCAATGCTAAAAATGAGTCACTGCAATCATGTAGAGCAGATGGTTTAATGCAAAGAGACCACTTGAATTTTTTTCCAAAATTTAGGCTTTAGAAAATTTCAGAATCCTCAAATTGATGAATAAATCAAAGGCAACCAGAGCTGTGCCTAATAGAGCCTTAAATATGGCATGTTATTATTAAAATTACCTCTACCTTTAAAGCTATAAATGTTACATGATGGCTTATAGGGAGTATCTTCTGTCCTAAAAGACTTTATAATCCATGAAACCTGGGGAAGCTGAACACTGAACAACAGACTGACTACATAAAAAGTAACACTTCACTATTTTATAGAACTCTCTTCATTTTTAGAGCAAGTATAAATGCAAATGTAATACACCAACAAATTTACACATTTTTATTTGACTGGGGAACTCATAAGTGTTCCTTTTATTTTTATCTGGTATGGAGATAAAGAAATAATATTCCAGGAAGAAAAAAAAAACCTTTTCACAGTTGCTGTATTGGAATATGTGTGCTGAAGAGACTGTCTGGACTCCTAATAGACAGTATAATAATGTTTGATTAGTTTTCTGAATCTTCTCAGGCACTGGCTGAGTGGTATAATCTCTACAAGAATTGAAGCTGAATTAGCAATGGAGGTTGGAGCACCTCACATTTCTGAAGTTCTCTGCATATAAATCCCAGAAATTTAAGATGATTTTCTATAGTTTATTTAATCGTGTCTAAAACTTCTTCAAGATTTTAAAATTAAAAAAAGCATTTTCTTTGGACAGGTATTTAGTCAAGCAGACATCTTCTTCGAATATATTGTTGTCACTCCATTAGATTTCTCTCCATGTCCCCAAATTCTCTGAGAAGAATAGAAAGCATATATTATGAGAATACCACATATATTTTAAAAGTCTTCTTTTTCATTTTTAACAAATCCCATTGATAAAACATTTCACCTAGTGTAATTGTTGTCCACATAGACAGTATGCAAGATATTGCTTGCTTTTGTATGATGACTCACCACCCTGGCCATTTTTCATTCTCAATGTATTTAAATTTTAATAGAGCATCTGATGTATTATATCAACCCAAAGTGGAAGCCAGTGGAGGCGGGGTGGGGGGAGTAATCTACGCAAATTCTAGAGAATGCCAGCATTAGGAGTTCAGCTCTGACCTTGCACATAGGACTGTTGCTGTTGCGCCTAAGACTTCTCTCACCACGGACAAGGAACAGGAGAGGGTGAAGGGGTTGGAGTGTGCTCACATGTTCCTCATTTGGTGGAATCTCAAAATCTTCCAGATAACGTTTAAATCCATGTTAAGTTTATGCTCCCAGGAGGAAGATCATCCAACTCAGTCTCTTGGTGGTCTGTAGCCTGAAGAATATTCCTTGACCCTTCAGTGTTCTGGTCTCTGAATGGAGATAATAGCGTCTACCTCATAACCAAGTATTGTGAAAATAAAATAAGATGATGCATTTAAGACACTAAGCATAGCCACTTAAGTACTATATGTGATTGGTCCATATGGGGCTATATGAAAAACTATATATCCAAAATTTGGGAAATAAAAGAAAAAGATGAGGGACATCTTTTAAAAATGTCATTGGAGCATTCTTTAACAGCCTTGTCCAAGTATTGTTTGGTAATTATTTAGTATTTAATAAGAACTTTGTTGACTGACTGTGAATTTGCATGTTAACATGTAGACTTTTGCCCGGTGGAAATCATATTTCTCAAGCAGGAAAGATTACTCCAAAGATTATGGTTGTGAGCTTGTAGGACATTAGTTTGTGTCTGTTACCAAGTTTATTTCAGCAGGCCTTTGTAGGCTTGACTGTATAAATCTCCATTCCCTGAATTCTCTTGCACCAGTCTCACTGCTATCTTACGGATTCCTCCTTATTAATGAATTGAATGAGATCTTTCACGTGTATTCATTTTGCATGTGTATGAGGGCCATGCTTTTAAATTTTTTAGAAACTTACATGTTATTAGCTATTGCTGCATTTTTAACTATCTAGCTTTGGAAACTGACAGGACTCAAAATCAGGTTTGACTTGTGAAGGCCGTGTTACAAAAAACCCTGGTGGTGGTTGTTTTTCTGCTTGTTGTTTTCTCACACTCTTAAAACTTCTTTTTATATGATGTCAGCGTGACTAATTTCAGTACTGCCAACTTCTAGCCTTACCTCCCTCTTCTGTACTAGATATCACGTATTTAATGTGTGTTAGGGATGAAGCTATTTAATTAGAAATGGGATGTAGCAGATTTGTACAAGACAGGGACAAGCTATTTTCAGATAATCTGTTCATTGTCCCTGATAGGAAAAGAAATGCTTTCCTAAAATTTAATTTTATTTCTCATAGTGTATTTTACTCCTTTATGCATCTGCAAATCAAACACTACCTTCGGAAAGAGTGGTAGAGTAAGTAATGAAAAAGATATGAAAGCCTAAAATAACACACTGTCTAAATAAGACTAATTGTGTAGATGTTACAATGATGTTCAATAAATAAAAATAGTTTGAAGATGGAGGGGAGTTTTTTTGTGAGCAATATAATGATAATCTTTCTAGCACACAGGTCAAATCCAACTTGAACTTCCAAAGTTCCAGTGTGAGTACTGACTGTATTGCCAATTAATAATTATATTTCAGTTATTAGGGCTCTGAGATCAGCTGGTTTAACTGTGTTTAATGAGCCTTCTGTTACCTATTCTTTTCTGTTCTCTTAGACCTTTAGAGAAACTAAAGAGTTTTTCGCTATTAACATATTCAATATGTAGCTGAGATATATGTTCTCCATATGGAGAACATCAAATATAGTGGAACAAAGAGTCACCGGTATTGATGTTGCACATTGGGTGAAGAAGTACTTTGTTGCTGAAAAAAGGGTGACATCTAGTGGCTAAGCATGTTATTTCAAATCAGTAAATCCAAATGATGTTTCTTTTTCTTGTCTAGTCATTCACTCTTTAACAAGTATTTTAAAGTGTATAATTTAAGTTATTTATTTTTGATCATTTGACTGTGTATTTATAGTATAATAATTGTGTAGTTACAATTCACTAAAGAGGTAGAACAGAATGAAGTTTGGAAGTAAAGGTGAGGGAGCATTCCAAGCGTGTGGTTAAAAAAAATGCTTAAACATTCATCAGGGCTGCGGTGAGGAAAGCATGATGGGGTAGGTGGCGTACCTGGTGTAGAAAGTGGATCCCAGGATATGTGACAGTGCATTCTAGAAGCTTAATATTCAGCATATAATTTCGAAATAGTCTTTTATGTGATGTTTTCATTAGCAACTGGTAAATTACGTCTGTACCAAGAAATTTCACTTCCTTTTTCTGTTTAAATAGGCATTTTGGCCATTGTTCAAAACTGATGACCTAAGACTTTTCCCAAGACCCTTCTGCACATAAAGAGCATGAATGAATTAGAGGCCAGAGTCAATCCACTGCATTAAGCGTCATAACTCAAGCTGTTATTCTCAACTAGAACTTAACCTTTCCTTAGTTCGTCATCACCTTTTCTCATTGCAATGGCATTCTAAACCTTGTCTGAAGTTAAGAATTATAGTGAATTAGGATGGGTTATGAATAAGTGCCTTCTTGGGTGTTTTTCCCTCACTTCAGAGCAGACTTCAATTCAGTCTACGAAGTTAATTATTGCTCTGAGATGTAAAAGGAAAGACTTTGTACAAATTTGGCTATCGTAAATGTATCACTAAAAGACGTGCTTAAATAACCTTGAATTTTTTTTAACTTTACAAATGCAAGCTGTTCTGGCACACTTTAGAGCAGTATTTAACCTTTTGGTTTTAGGGCATTGGAAGGTATCTGAATCCTATCGAAAGATTCTTCTGTATCAGCCCATGGGCTGCAATTCAAACTATTGTGCCTGGTTTTTTTTTTTTTTTTTTTTTGAGACAGAGTCTCACTCTGCTGCCTGGGCTACAGTGAGTGCCGTGGTGTCAGCCTAGCTCACAGCAACCTCAAACTCCTGGCTCAAGCAATCCTTCTGCCTTAGCCTCCCGAGTAGCTGGGACTACAGGCACACGCCACCATGCCTGGCTAATTTATATATATATTTAGTTGTCCAGCTAATTTCTTTCTATTTTTTTTTTTTTAAGTAGAGACAGGGTCTCACTCTTGCTTATGCTGGTCTCGAATTTCTGAGCTCAAACGATCCACCCGCCTAGGCCTTCCAGAGTGCTAGGATTACAGGCGTGAGCCACCGCACCCAGCCTCAAAATATTGTGCCTCTTTAAAAAAAGAAAAAAAAAGGTACTCTACTATGAAAACCAGAGTGGATCACATGAGCTATTAAGATTCCATCTATCATTTACTTTTTTACCCTATGCAGTGAAATCATATATACATACATGCTGTTCCTCACTTTCCACACTGGCATAACAGACCTACAAATACCCACATTGTATTAGATTTCTTGAAATGGTCAATTCCTATGTTTTTTTTTTTTTTTCAGCTTTTTTGAGTGGCCAAGAATGGGGCCTACTGACAATTTTGATAAAAATGCTCAATTTTAAATCATGCCAAACATTTCCATAACCAGTTAGAGGCATTTGATTGAAAGCTTTAAACAGCAATGACATTTTTAAAGCTTTCTTAAGGGCTTGAGTCATCTCCTTTATTGTTAAAAGTAATTTGCACTCTCAAAAGAACCAGTCAAAGAGGCTGGCTGACTTCAGTTCTTGGTTAAGGAAATGCAGGTTATTATTTGGCAACAACAATAACAACAAAAATGCACATCAAACAATTCTTAAGAA